TTGGCAACTATATATATATTTGTTTTTATTTAAGTTACTGTTTAATTATTGTTTGTGGTTTAAATTTTTTGTTTTGCTTTATTTAACTTGAGTTAATTTTGTACTTAACGAATAAAGACTAAATGGAAAAAAGAGAATGTGGTTTTGGAAGTGTATATTTTTTATTTATTTATGTATTTTATTTTATTTTTTCCAGTAAAATGTTGCTTTGGAAACTAGTTAAAATCTATTAAGTTTACGTTTTTTAATTTTTAATTTTTATTTTTTTTCAGTGAATGTTTAGTCAGTATTTATCTGATGTCTGCCGCCGTGTCGTGTCTGTACCGTTTCTGCCGTGTTGTTTGAGGGTGTTGGCTGACAGGTGGATGGCGTTCCCTTGGCCTCCCGTCTGTGGAAACTTCAGATCGGGAAGATTTCCGTCTGTGCTCATCCTCGCCACCTCCAGCTCTGAACAAAGACAAACACACAAACACACACCGTTAGGCCTGAATAACAAGCTACACAATGCATGAAAAGTCATGACTGTGGCGATAGCACATCTCAGGACTCGATCGAGTTACTTTGAGTTTATGACAGTATAATGAAAGTGAATAAGACCTGAAACAAAAACTATTTTTTTTTTATATATGTGAACCTGGAGCACAAAAGCAGTGTTAAGTCGCTGTGGTATATTTGCAGCAATAGCCAACAATACATTGTATGGATCAAAATTATTGATTTTTCTTTTATGCCAAAAATCATTAGTATATTAAGTAAAGATCATGTTCCATGAAGATATTTTGTAAATGTCCTACCATAAATATATCAAAACTTAATGTTTAATTAGTAATATGCATTGCTAAGAACTTCATTTGGACAACTTTAAAGATGATTTTCTCAATATTTAGATTTTTTTGCACCCTCAGATTCCAGATTTTCAAATAGTTGTATCTCGACCAAATATTGTCTCGATCCTAACAAACCATGCATCAATGGAAAGCTTATTTATTCAGCTTTGAGATGGTATATAAATCTCAATTTCAAAAAATTGACCCTTATGACTGGTTTTGTGTTCCATCGCACTTGTGTACTATTTTCCAATCTTCTGAGTTCATACAAGCATTTTGTGTGAAGGATTTAAATCGTTATTCACTGAAAATCTTGACTGACATGTCTTTTTAGTGTTCAGGAAAATGGTCGTAATGTCCGATTCATGAACAGATTTTTTTTTTTCAATTCATCATTGAATCTGAATGATTGAATCACTAATCAAACTAATACAGTTCTTAAGGTCTCGGGTTCTGATTACAGATGATTCATTTGATGATTTGACTCGATCTGGATCGTTTAGTTCTTCCAAACTCATCTCAGTTGTTCCCATAGCAACAGGTCTCTAAGGCCAAACTTACTTGGAAACAGGTTTATCTGACGCAAATAGGATTGAATTGCTGCTATTTCAGTGGAGGTGATACTTGAAGTCTGTCACAGCTGCTGCTCCTGTCTTACAAGAGCATCATGTTGCTTTCTGTTCACATTGGCCACTTTTATACTTCTTTTTATACTTTTTCTCTTTCATGCTCCTTCATGACAGTAGTTGAACCGAAAGAACAACTTTGAGAACGCACATTTTAAAATGCAACGATGCACGACATGGAGTTTGCGTGGAAGTGTTTGCGTCACATACTTGCGTAGAGTGCGGTTTTAAAAAAAGTTCAAACGGAGAATGAAACTCCTGCTGTGCTGTTTGGACATATCGAAGCATCTCGCGCTGCCTGAGATTTCAACAGTGATTCAGCGCGGCTCTCTAATCAAAGCATGAATGCACTGACTAACTGCATCAGCGCCAGGCCTGCAGCATTATTTCGGGCGTTCATAAACATGCTTTCAGAGAACCTGAAATGAAGTCAGCCGCAAAATCCCCCAGCATCTACACAAACACTTATCAAACCAAAATTAGCATTGAAAATCCCAAAGGAGACTCATTCAGCGGTGGGGCGGCGTGGGACTGCTTTCCACCGCTGCAGGTATTCGCCATCGACAGGACAAAGGCGAGCGATAAAGAGCGGTGGGCATACAACTATAGCTTGCAGGAAATACTTTTTCATTCTTCCAGCGTCGCTGTGAAAAGCTAAAGACTGGCAGAGACGCTGTTGTGCCACGAGAGAAATCAAAAGCCGGTTTAAATAATACGTTAATCACCCAAAATCTGCTCACCAGATTATGAGCGTGAGGACAAACACACTCTCCATCAAACAGAGATAAATCTAAATACAAAGGCGTGCTGTTTTCTTTTAAAGCACATTGTATTAAACCGAAGGAGGAGGATAACAACCACTTCAGGGTAAGTTGGCAAAAGATGAGCATCCATCCTCACACACAAACAGGCTTTTATTTCCCCGAACGACTGTGTCATCAACACTATCATCAGATGGCAATGCCGCTAATCTTCTCTCGATTCTCCACATGGTGCGGTGTTGGCGCTCTGCGGCCCCTTAAAGCCATAGTTTGCACTGTCTGAAAGGGAGATAATCTGAGGAACATTCAGGGGGGTGTTGAGCTTCAAAATGAATCAAAAACAGAATAAAGCTAGCTTATATGATGGTCCAAGTCTTCTGGAGCCGTATGATGGCTTTGTGTGAGCACAAGTCCAAGCCATTAATGTTTGTGTGCATTGAAACATACAACCCAGGACCATTGGGAAAATGCACCTGTGGCAACATTTCTGAAACATTATATAATGTTGCGTCTTGCAGTTTCAAAGTGAAATGTCCAGTAAGTGGCGCTAAAAGCACGTTCAGTTTAATCCGGAACAGATGAACGTGAATCTGGCAATGTTTTATGTTTGGTTGTTTGGAAATGAAATGTCCGGTGAGTGGCACTGTAAGGTCAATACCCTATTGTGTATGAAACTAACGTACTATCTACTCTAAACCTAACCGATACGAGTTAACAAAAGCAAACATGTGATAAAAACACATTTGTTGAAGCACCAATGCCTTTTAAGCTTGTTTCTACGAGTCTTTTAAGCTCTTCTATCGTGACTCGTGCTTCATGGGACTCGTTGCATCTCAAATGCAAAGCTGTACCGGGTGCGCTACCAAGCAAGTTTACTACATCAGAAAAGCCATTTATATTGAGCTGGTTATGTGATGCAAACCTCAAAATGCTTAGTTTGCAGATCATGCACTATGGTAAAAATGTTTTTTTGAGCTCATAACATAGCATTGTGCAAGGAAATGCTTGAAAATCAGTCTTTAGTAATCAAAAATCTGCCCCTGTAATCATAATGTGTGTGCTAAGGAATCCAAATTGTCGTTTTACTTCCACTAGTGTTCATTTCAGATGGAAACTGCAGTGCATTGTATGTTTATTCATTTTTTGGCGTTGTAGGTAGAGACTACTCATGTAAACTCTTGGTTGCAATTGCAAATGGGATGAGATGCATTTGGCCAAGTTTAACATCAAACGTCATTGGATTTTGTTTGTGTCGGATGAATAATTCTTGTATTTTTTTAAAGTTTTGAAGTTAACAGATTATTAGAGTGCGTCTTAAAATAAAATCGTATTTTGTTTTTGCTACTTCAAAAGTTCATGTTTATTCAATGTCTCACTTGCTGTTTCTTTGTAATTATTAGTGAATTTCTGAGTGAAAACCTGTTTCTACATCGTATTTATGGAAAACAGCATTTCCTTGCGTGTTCCACGGAAGAAAGAGATTAATATGGATTGGAAATGACACAAGAGTGTGTAAACTTTTCAATTCCGGCTGATCTATTCCTTTAACTGAAGGCTGCTTTCCGGCTCGCCGG